TAAAAAGTTTGAACCCCTCTCAATTTGAGGTGGCTGCAAATTTTAAAGGGCCATAATTGTTGAACGCTAAGAGATTATTGTGCAAGATTTAAAATTTATCAATGAATTTATACTTGGTTAATAATAGTAAAAAAAAATATTTTATAAACCTGTTGCTCTCACGTTGGGAGCATGTGTAGCTATATCTTTAGGGCTTTTTTGTTTCCAGACTCCAATTGTTGCAATTTTTTGCAAAGCATTCTTATTTGAAAAAAGTATGAACATAAATTTTTGGAGTTTGTTCCATCTCTGGAAGTTAGGTATCTCAAACATCAAAAAATGCTGCATCCGCGCCTGATATATATATATATATATATATATATATATATATATATATATATATATATATATATATATATATATATATATATATATATATATATATATATATATATATATATATATATATATATATATATATATATATATATATATATATATATATATATATATATATATATATATATATATATATATATATATATATATATATATATATATATATATATATATATATATATATATATATATATATATATATATATATATATATATATATATATATATATATATAAATTAGTTTGCTCATGGAAGAATTTATAAATATTAAAATGAGTTACATCTTAGACTCTATGTTGCATTAAATATGCATATATTGTGTGGGCACCGAATGACTTTATGCTGGCGCCAAATAGTACACATCTATTTAGCCAATAAAAATAAGCAAATTAGTTCGCAAAAGAATGTTTATAAAAGCAACAAAAAGTTTAATCTTTAAATAAAGCAGTAAAGTTAATATTTAAAATAGTTGAGCAGTTTTTGACTTGTTAAAAATTAAACTGAAATTTTGATAGCAATATGTGCGTTATGCTTTATTTAGTTGATTATTTATTCTTAATTAAACTTTTTTTTATACTGTTGAAGTAAGTTATACTTTTCGTCATTCTGTTATATCAAAACAATGTAAAAAGTATCAAATAAATTATTGGCAGCTTATATAAAGCTAAACAAAATCTTGTCAAGAGAATAAACAGAAAATAAAATTATGAAGTTTTTTTTTTTTTTTTTTATAACAAAAACCTTTATACAGCGTGGTGCATAAGTAATGTTATTAGTTGTTTTATAAAAAAAATTTTGTAGAAAAAAGCAATGAAACAGTTGGAGTGAGAACAAAATTAAATTACGGAATTTTTCAAGAAACAGCCCTAGGGGGTGTTTATTTGAGGCAAGGTAACCAGGTTATCTAGGATCACTCTCTTAAACAAGATCTTAGCATATTTAATATTTACCTATAAAAATTTTACTTGTTTACACGACAAACAGGCTAGCCCGGCCAACTGACAACTCGTCTAACTTAAGTTGGATTGCTCTCAGGTAGAAGGATATTTTTCATATAAATACAAACAAGTGAGCTAACCCTGCTAATGAATTCAGCTGATTGGATAAAAAAAAAAATGTTATTTGATTATGCAATTACGTAATCACGTTTAAATTTGAATTTAAACGTGATTACGTAAAAACAAACAAAAACGCATTTTGTTTGTTTTAAAATACAATTAGGAATGCATTGTAATATACATTCCTAATTGTATTTTTCTATAATTATTCGAATGGTCACACTTTTTGAAATAAGATATTTTAGTTCTATTTACTTTTGGGAGAGAAACTTTAAGCAAAGTCTACCTGAAGTATATGTTGTCTTCCTTTTAATTGGGTTGATAAAAAAATAAAACAAGCCCGATTAGAATATTTTAAACTGCTTTAAAGAAGCCATTTTTTCTAGAACTACAAAAAAATGCATCATGCATTGTGCGGTCGTGGCGCAGTCGTTAGGCGCTTGCTTTATAAACAGCAGATCCAGGTTCGATACGAGCTCTGGACATATTTCGTGTCACGGTAAGGAAGGAGGCGTGAACTTCTTGGTTAAATGCATTTCCGCGGTGCTCTGAGACAAGACCGTTAGGTCTTTTTGGGGCACCTAAATAACAAATAAAAAATAAAAAATTAAAAAAATAATAATAATAATTTACTTACCTTTTCATCACCCTAGCGACAATAACCGCGATTCATATTCTAGGTGTTCTACTCAACAACTTATCGGTTGTTTAAGTCATTTTTATGTAACTTACTAATAAATTTTGTCCACATCTTATGCCTTATTTGGCATTAGTTTTTGACATTGTTTTTGACATGTTTTTATTTCCTCCCTTAAAAATCCGATTGGAGAGAGATCTTGTGATTGGGGAGGCTAGTTCACTTTATTTAGTATTTGATTGTACTCGAACTCACTCAAACAAGTTTTTAAAACATATATTTTAGATTTAAGTTTCAAGTTATTTTCTTGTGAAAAAATGAAAAGATTTTCTAGCCCATTTCATTACCAAATTCAAAGTTTTTTGTAATTTTTAAACCATACGGGATCCATCTAAAAACCAGAACTCGCACCCATCTAAATTCCGTTCCGGTAAAGTCAGATAAAAACCTTAAAACCTAGTTTTTAAAGAACAATATGAGACATGAAGAAGAAATATCGCAATCTCAACAGTTGCAATTACAACATTATTTATCTCAAAGTTCGTCTGCATCTAAATCTCTAATGGGCAGAGAACGCCCTTGGCGTCCATAGGACGTAAGGCCACGCGGTTAAGATTTTTTTCGGTTCGGTTTTTTTCGATTCGATTTGAAGCTTAAACCTTTCGGCATGGTTTTTTTCGGTTTGGTTTAAAAAAAATTCGATTTGGTTCCGTTTAGTTCGGTTTAATTAAAAACAAAACATGGTTTTAGAGATGATTATTTAAATACATTCTACAATTTTAAAATGTAATCTTTTTAAAAACACCCAATTATAAACTAATTTTTATTTTATTAATGTTTTCTTTTATGCAAACAATTTTCTCGACATTTTTATTCGCTTGGACAACAACTAAATTGGGTTTAGAAATTAAGCATACTAACGTTATGGTGAAAAATAATGAATTCATTATTTTTCACCATATTAAAATATTTGTTTTTTCGTCTGCTGTTTCGGCTCCTAAATAATGCTTAATTTCTAAACCCAATTTAGTTGTTGTCGAAGCGGTGCGTGCTGAAATATCTTGTTTTAGTCTTTTTTAAAAGCCTTTTGTGGTGATTAACGTTAGTATTTTACTACTTTTGATTGGAAGTTTTTTTTACTTTTCTTTTTCCTGCGTCAATAGTGCTTTTTTTATTTTATCAATTTTTTATATTCAATTAAATGCAGACCTTTGTAACGCGGGAATATCTTTCCTGGAGTTCACTTATCAGCATTTTTATAAATATTCTTGTTGCTTTGTCTTTATGATCTTTGTGATTTGTATTTGTCTTTGTGATTTTTTTAGGCAAGTAGTTCTTGGTGCAAGAAATATAATTTAGATGTTACATCTTGGATTGTTGGTCTTTTATCAGCTGATAAACCTACTGAAGTATTGTAAATTTTTTCAAGAATTATGTGCTGTATTCTAGTGTCTTTCATTAATCATTTAAAGTACAAACACTTGCAAAATCAAATTCTACATTTGATTTTGCAAGTGTTTTTATCGCTTCTTTGACTTGGAGGACTGACTTTATTCACATGTAATCAGAATTCCATCGTGTTGTACACGGAATAATCAATATCCTGGCCTTAATTCCAAGATTTTTGCATTCACCATAAAGTTTAGCAGTAGAGAGATAACTTCTATGTGTGTGTGATGCTAAATCTGTGCATTTTTTTATTGCTTTTGAAAGGTCAATTACATTTTTGATCGCTTTACGAACAACTAGCTGGACTATGTGATTCTTGCAGCGCAACTCTGAGTTGACTTTATCACTTTCTTTAGCAGCTAAAACAATGTTGCTGCCATTGTCATTAACGCAGGCTCTGTGCACTTCTTCATTTAAGTTCAAATTAGCAATAAAAGAATCCAGGTTTACTGCGATTGCTACCCCGGTGTGTCTACCAGTAAATGGTGTGCAAGCAGTAAGAAAACTCAATAAATTATAATCTGAACTAATGTAGTGAATTGTAAGACTCGTGAAGGAATAATTGTTTCAACTTGTCCAGAGACAAGTTGAAACAATGATTGTAAAATCTGTTGTAAAACTAAATCCAGTCACATTTGGAAAATCTTTGACAAACTCTAGTTGCAACCCTTCCTTAACCTTGTAATAAAACATTGGAAGCTTATGAGTCTAAATGTTGATGCAGATTTGACAGTGAATTTATTATTTACTTTATCTATAAGTTCTTGAGCTTATTATCCAAAAGTTCAAAAGATAGACCTTCATTGCAGACAAACTGTCCGGCCACACACACACAAACACAACTATCAATGCACATTTCACACTCGAAACGTGTGAAATGCAAAAGATAAAGAGTACTCTTTAAGAGCTTTTATTTCTTTCATAAATATCCTATAAAACAAACATATAAAAAGTATAAATTTATAAATAGTATAAATTTGTCCTTAAAATAGTTAAAATAAAGTTAAATAATTCAAAATCAATTTTTTTATTATGAATAAAAGTAAAGAAATCTCATGTAAACAACTGTTTCTTTCAAGGATGCTTTCATAATATATTTGTGTACTTAATTCTTTCATGCGATTCTGCACACAAGGAACATTGACGTACTGTTAAATGTGCGCGCGCACTAAATTATCGGAACTGTGAGGAGGTCTATTCATACTTTATTCAAATTGAAGATGCCGAAAAAAGGTGAAATTTGTAAATTCTTTGAAAACTGAATAAGTTTGAAGCTAAATGTAAAATTTGCTTTAAATCTTACAATATAAACTGTAGCAGTTCATCAACGATAACCAACCATCTTAAAACCAAACATGAAACATCTTGAAAGGAACATTTTTTAAAAACCATCAAGACACCTAACAAACGAAAGCTTGATAAAGCAAAAGACGCCAAAACAACAACAATTAAAAGTAGTATATTAAAAAATCAAAAATATGGGTTTAAATGATCCAAAGAAATTAAAGTTTGACTTAGATTTAACAAAGTTTGTCTGCAATGAAGGTCTATCTTTTGAACTTTTGGATAATAAAGGAGCTCAAGAACTTATAGATAAAGTAAATAATAAATTCACTGTCAAATCTGCATCAACATTTAGACTCATAAGCTTCCAATGTTTTATTACAAGGTTAAGGAAGGGTTGCAACTAGAGTTTGTCAAAGATTTTCCAAATGTGACTGGATTTAGTTTTACAACAGATTTTACAATCATTGTTTCAACTTGTCTCTGGACAAAATGAAACAATGATTCCTTCATGAGTCTTACAATTCACTACATTAGTTCAGATTATAATTTATTGAGTTTTCTTATTGCTTGCACACCATTTACTGGTAGACACACCGGGGTAGCAATCGCAGTAAACCTGGATTCTTTTATTGCTAATTTGAACTTAAATGAAGAAGTGCACAGAGCCTGCGTTAATGACAATGGCAGCAACATTGTTTTAGCTGCTAAAGAAAGTGATAAAGTCAAGTCAGAGTTGCGCTGCAACGATCACATAGTCCAGATATATATATATATATATATATATATATATATATATATATATATATATATATATATATATATATATATATATATATATATATATATATATATATATATATATATATATATATATAAATTACTATTTAACAATCTACTTTCCCAAAATTTATTAATCAATATTAAATACTATTAAGAGCTTTTACACTCAACGTTCAAATTTGTTTGTTTTTTTCCTTGATTACAAATATTACATAACAAAAACATATAAACAGTTTAGATTTTAAACTTAAAATGGGTAAAATAAACTTATATTTAGCTAAAGCAATGTCTTTTTAAAAAAAAATTAAAAAAAATCATATATATGCAACTGTTTCTTTCAAGGTTACTATCCTAATTTATAAGTGTATTTACTTGTTTTCATGCGATTCTGCGCATAAAGTACCACGACGTAATATTAAATATGCGCGCGCAGGAAATTATCGTAACTCTGAAGACGTCTATTGCTTGCATGATAATCGGGAAAAAATAAAAGAAAATTAAAATAAATTTATATTCTTTTTGTTTTGGTCAAGTACAACTAAGTTGATAACAAGAAGTATAAGATTAGAAAAGATTAAAATTAGATTAAAGAAAAAATAAAATTCACAAATGAATTTAATTTAAGGCTTATTCAAGTTTGAACAAACAGTTTGAATAAATAGTTAAAAATGTTTACAATTGTTTGTGTAAATTTCAAACCATTATAACAAAAAAATATTTTTTTTTAACAGTAAAACATCTTGTTTTATTATTTATCGAAATTAGAAAGCAATGTTCTTATAATAAAAATATTATACAATATATTATAATTTTTAAGTAAAATAAAAAGTTACAACAGTTTAGAAAAAAGTTCAATTTACTCACATGTTACAGTACAATAATATCATAACTATATTCCTGCCTGGTCCGCAACATTTGCCATAGTTTTGCGGCACTATTTTGGACATTGCATATTTTGCACTTATTACTTTGTACAATGCACATTTATCGACTATTTTTATGTTATGTTTACAGTCTCATCTTTTTGACTTAATTTAGTAATAATAGTAAACTTTAATAAACAAAATATATTAAAAAAATCTATAACTAAGTTTTATAATTATTATAAATTTTATACCGTTTTTTCAGGTTTTTCGGTTTCTGTTCGGTTCGGTTTAATATTTAAAATATTTTGATCGGTTCGGTTTGATTCTTTTGTTTTTAATTTAGTTTTCACCGAAAGAACGGTTTGGTTCGGTTTACCGCGTGGCCTTAGTTACAATTAAAATAAGAAAAAAACTCACATTTTTTGCCTTTTTAACTAAAGGTAAGGGTATGAACTACCTTGAATTACACGAAATTTAGGTTCAATTACTGATAAATCAGGGAGGTTTTTATTATGAGTAATGAAATACTCAAAGAGATCAACAGAATGGTTGACTATATTTTTCTTTTCAGAACATCGCGGTTTTTGACCTGCAACTTTTCTGTTTTTGCCATTTTTATAGCAAAACTTTGTTTCATTAGTTTGATATTCTAGTTTAATTTTTTGAGAACAATTATGTCATAAAGTAACAAATTGTTTAAAAACAATGGCTTAAAATGTTATGTAAAAAATGGTTTAAAATGTGATATAAAATTAAAAGAAAATAACTCTAAATCAATTTTTTTTCAATAACAGACTTTTCTTAAAATCAGTAGAAATATAGTAAAAATGAAATTGATAGAAAAAGCTCTTTGATTTTTTCTTGTCAAAGTTAAGTGTAATATGTTTTTAGCAGTGTCATTTTAAATCTTATTTTTTTTACATTTTAATTATTTTTAATTTAAACCATTAAGGTCAGGCTATTGCAACTGTATAATGAGCCTGCTGCAGTGATGAAATTAAAATAAAGGTTATGAGTTTGGTGATGGCGTGACCATTTTTTGACCGAGATCACAATATAAAATTGGTAAAAAGATCTGTATACAAAAACAAACGAAAGTCCAAAAAGATGTAAAAATGGATAGAATAAAAACTGAATTCCTTCTGAAACAGTTTTTATTGACAAAGACCAGCCATTAGTTTTTGAGTTGTATTTTTCACCAGACTACTGAAAATTTTTAATACTATAGGTCATTGTTTGAAACAATGTCTACGGATGAGACTCCCTTAAACTTTTTGGATACAAACAATTCCAAAACTTTAAAAATCTCTTAAAGTCTTGCCATTGTAAATTTAAATCAAAATCGTAAATCTGTTATTCATAGTTTAAGAAATTTATTTCTTATATATTTCTTGTTTTTAAAAATAAATTGCAGGGTAAGATATTTATTTCTTAAAATAAGAAACGTATTTCTTGTTTTAAAAAAAGTTAAAAATTTCGTAATAAAAAATTCATTTTCCTTACAGTAATATTTTCCAAGATAATGTAGAGAGTGTGATGAGCATGAAGAAGCTTTATAAGCTACTTTAAATAAAGAATTCTTGTAAAGACCTATTTAAAAGAAGAAGAGTGGATTCAAGAAGCTAGCTACGGCGACTGTTTTCTCGCTTTCTTGCTTTCGCGTTATTGAATGGTTGTAATAATTTTAATTTTGATAAAATACCTAACTGCAAACGCTTGACCTTAAAAACATTCAAAATGTATTTTTTACGTTTTTCTTTGGATATTTGTCTTAAGCTGAAAATTTATATTTATATAAACATTTAGTGTACATTTGAAGCGTTTAAACGCTGAATTCTGAAGCAAATTTGCTTCAGAAACGAGAGATCTGAAGCAGTAACGAATACAGCATTTTTTGGTAATTGAGAGCATTTTTTGGTGAAAAAACCAAACAACCGTACGTTTATACTTATGCCAAATAATTAAGCTTCTTAAAAAGCATTGATACGTTTTGATTTAGTTTTGTTTACACTAAAGATCGAAAGTCTTTCACCCAATCTTTTAAGAAAACCATATTGTATTATGATTTGTTTGATCCAACATCATTTGATACCGAAATGAAGTAAAAATCATAAAATTTGTCGAATGTCTGAGAAAAATCTCCAAGGTCAAATAAAATCACTTTACAATAGCCATAGTGTTAATTTATCTATCATAATCAGTAAAATATAGGTTCAATATATTTCTTTAATTATTAAGCACGGTGTTGTTTTTGGTACACAAACACATTAAAAAAATATTGTTATATATATATATATATATATATATATATATATATATATATATATATATATATATATATATATATATATATATATATATATATATATATATATATATATATATATATATATATATATATTGGTACATGAACACATTAAAAAATTATTGTTATATATAATTTTTTTGTTAATGTTGATAAAAGTTTAGCTGAAAAAATTGAACCATCTCAAATAAGTTTTAAATCATACTTGACATCAACTAATGCCAAATCATGAACTTATAGAGAAAGAATTATTAAATTCAGTTTCTTTGTTAAAAATTAACAAAAGTTCCGGTTTAGATGATATCAGCAGTATGGTCCTTATTAAGTCACTAAAATATATAACAATACCACTTTTACAAATTTTTAATTTATCTTTAAAACATGGAATTTTTCCTGAAAAGATTTTGGAGCGTATAATGTATAATAGACTTTATCTTTTCTTAAATGTAAACAATTCGGGTTTAAATCCGGTCATTCGACCGATCACGCATTAATTAATCTTGTGCATTAAATTTTTAAAGCGTTTGATGAAAAAAAATTTACTTTAGGTGTCTTTATTGATCTGAGCAAAGCGTTTGATACCGTAGATCATAATATTCTTCTTTATAAACTTAAAAATTATGGTATCATAAATTCTAACTTAGGCTGGTTTAAGAGTTATTTAAAGAATAGGAAACAATGCATTTTATATGATGGCGAGAAAACAGACTTGATGGCAATTACCTGCGGAGTTTCCCAAGGATCAATTCTAGGACCGCTTTTATTTCTCATTTATATAAATAATTTGAGTAAATTTTCCAATATCTTAAATTCAATTTTATTTGCTGACAATACTAACATATTTTATTCAAATAAAGATATTAATTTTTTATCTACAACAGTGAACGAGGAGCTTGTGAAACTAAGCGAATGGTTTATATCAAATAAACTGTCCATAAATATTAAAAAAACAAAATATACTTTCTTCCATCGTCTTCATGATAAAGACAATATACCTATACAACTTCCTAAGCTTTTTATTAATAACTCTTATGTCAAAAGAGAGAGTTCTTTGTTGTTTCTAGGCATTGTTTTAGATGAAAACGTAACATGGAAGGAGCACATACGAATAATCCAAAATAAAATTTCGAAAAATATAGGCCTTTTATACAAAGCAAAACAGTTGTTGAACCAAACTTGTTTGAAACTTATTTACTTTTCTTTTATTCATTGCTATCTAAATTACGCTAACGTTGCTTGGTGCAGCACTAATGTATCTAAAAATAAAGGGCTTCTAATTAAACAAAAACACACTCTAAGAATTATTGGAAATGTGAATCGCTTTTCGCACACTAAATTACTTTTTAATAAATTCAAAATACTTAACATATTTCAACTTAACCTTTATCATATTTTTTATTTATGTTCAAAGTAGATAATAAAATAGCACCCATTTTATTTAATTCATTTTTCGAAAAAATAAATCATTTATACCCAATAAGATTTTCAAACAACAATTATATTCAACCAAAAAAATATTATTCTGCGACTAGGTTCTCGACAGCAATCAGAGGACCTAAATTATGGAACACCCTATTAGATAATGAGTTTAAAAAAATTTCTTCCCTTAATCAATTTAAAATAAAAATAAAAAGTAAACTTTTGATAACTGACAATGAACTTGACTTCTTCTGAAACTTTTTAATAGGAGTAATCACTTGTTTTTTACTTGATATTTAATTTATTTTTAACATATTAATTTTTGATTTTAACTTAAATCTTTACCTTGTTAAATCATCATGTTTTATCTCATTTTTATTTACTATTAAAATTTGAAATCCTAATAAAAAAAAAATTAAAAAAAATATTAAATTTTAATGAAAAATATTTAGATATTTGTATTTATATATGTACCTTACGCATATATTATATTGTGATAACGGATTTTGTTTTTTGGTTTTTTGTTTTGTTTGTTACTTATATTCTTGTTTGAAGGGGCTTGGCGATAAGACTGAATTTGTCTTCTTCTTGCCCCAGCCGTGTATATACAGTTTTTAAAGTCTAATTTTGTAAATATTTTCTTTATGGTGAAATATATATTATATTTTATTATATATATATTTATATATATATATATATATATATATATATATATATATATATATACATAATCAAAAATATAAAAACCGCTTAAAAATTACAAACTAAGGTAGAATGAGTTGTGACGTTATAGTACAAGAAGACGCAATGGAAAACTTATTTCCGCAATCAAATAATGAAAGGAGAAACTAATTTTTGTGTCTGCATTTAGAAACTACTTCGCCTCTTTTATTAAGCAATTCATCTCTTTTGTAAAATAGTATTTCAAATTACTCATCTAAACTAAGTTTACAAATTTTTGACGCAGAATTGTATGATTTACAGCGTTTAATTATATTCCATTTGATTGAAGATGTAAAATTGTTATCTTTTAAATCTCATACTACCTTAGATAACTCAGTGTCGTTCTTGTACTTTTTTATGTTGAAGGATTTTAAAAGGTTTGCATAACGTAGTTTAAAAGAGGTTTTGCTTATCCCAATGTATAGCTTATCTTTGTATTGAGGTTTATTTGAGCTTAAACGATGTTGTTAGGCAAGCAATTGTTGTTCAGTGAACAAAGAGATATTTTAATGCAATTGCAGGCTTTTTCGGATAACTTTACATCACTATACAAAACAGTTTTTTGTGTGAGTTGATGGTATATTTAATGTTTGGCATGCAGGAGTAGCTTATTTTAATTGTGTTTCTGTTAAATATTTTGTGTAGGTTGTGGACTTTAGGAAAATGCTTGTCAATTAGGTTTAAAAAACTTTGACCATATAGACTCTATATAAACCAAAATCATTTTTGTTGTAAAAATGCAAAAGTTTATATAAAACAAAAATCCCGACTAGTTCGCAAACTTCCGCGCCATCATAGGTTTCCATGGTAACATCCAACAGTTCTGCTTTTTTCAATCCATGATATGCCACCGTTAATATATATATATATATATATATATATATATATATATATATATATATATATATATATATATATATATATATATATATATATATATATATATATATATATATAAATATATATATATATATATATATATATATATATATATATATATATATATATATATATATATGTATACATATATATATATATATATATATATATATATATATATATATATATATATATATATATATATATATATGAATATATATATATGAATATATATAAATATACAAATATATATATATATATATATATATATATATATATATATATATATATATATATATATATATATATATATATATATATATATATATATATATATATATATATATATATATATATATATATATATATATATTAGGGTGTTTCAAAATATTGTCATGTCTGAAAAAAAAAAAGAGCCCTAGCTTATCATCTGCCCAGACCATGATTTAGTATTAAATTTTTTTTTTTTTTTTTTTTGAAAACTCTAAGGGTTTCTTCAGGGGGTAAAAGGGGCAATTTTTAGGGCATTTCGTACCATTTTTAAAACTGTTTGTAGGAAGTCTTGACATTAATTTTTTTTTTTTTAATATATATTTATGTTTGTAAAGACTTATTTAATCCAAATAACATGGGCTCTATTCTCAAAAAAATATTAAAAATTTATAAAAATTGCTTCAAAAAACCCTAAAATTCATAAATATTTAACAAAAAAAAACATTTTTACATTGAACATAGTTTTACATTTTTAAAATGAAGATTTAAATTTTTTCAGTAATTAATATGTTTTCTTGAAATGTATTTTACATTAAATTTTTATTTTTAGATTATATATTCAAAAAATTAATAAAATGACACCAAAAAAAAAAAGTTAGAAGTATTAGATTGGATAAAATATCTTTAGTCAAAAAGTTAATCGAAAAACTTCCAGCTAAAAAATTTGCAACTGCTAAAGAGATAGTTCAATATTATCTCTTTCTACGAAAGTCAAAGAGTGAAGCAAAACTAAGGGTCCTCGTAGGTTGTCCGAATAAAAGTTCTTCTTTTATACCTAATTGTCCAGTTGATCAGTCTGACTGCTGCATACTGTCCAAACTAATGGTTCCTTGGGTACTTGGTAGATTTAGAGTGCTTACAATACAAAAGTTAAGGTAATCTTTTCAATAAGTTCTAAATCATTTTAGTCCATGTTTAATCCATAATTGTATTATTATATAATATTTTTACAGGATTAAAATTGAGAAATTGTTGAAGGAATGGATGAAATTAAAAGATCAAAGATACAGAACAAATCCTGCTGAAATAAAAAAAAGACATTTATTTGAAGAGCAAATGAGTAAAGTATTTTGGATTGGAAAACATCCTAATGTTATGTTTGAGGAAATATTAAAAGATAAAATGAGAAAATTGAAAGACAAGGAAGAAGATATTGCTTTCTTAAAAGACCAACTGGATAAAAGAAAAGGAAGTCTTGGAGGTAGAGATAAAAGATATGAATATTCTGTAATCAGAAGTAAAAGAAGCACATCAAAGTTCAGTAAAAATCCGTCAGTAGAATTAAATAAGAATGATTCAGATTATCTAAGTTCTGCTAGTTATACTAGCGATGAATTAGGTGAAGAAACAGATATTGACTTTGATTTTAATGAGCATCCTAATGATCAAAATTCTGTTCTGCTTCCTAAAAATATCCTTCAGTCAACCGCTCATACAGCAGTGGGAGAAGGTATAACACCCCATCAACATACAGCATTGACTAGTAGTGTTATTGTTATGTCTGGTGGTTCTGTAGCAAACTTTAATTGTTCTAAATCCACATCTTATAGAGCTGCGGAGAACATAATATCTGCCAGGGCAAAAGAAATAAGAGAATACATAAAAAACATTGTAATATTATCAGATTCACTAATGACTATACACTTTGACGGAAAAATAGTTAATGAACTAACAGAGAGAAAGCAATTTAAAAAAGATAGAATTGCAGTTTTGCTAAGAATTGATAAAAAAACAGAACTACTTGGCATTCCTCCAATAGATTCTAGTTCAGGGGTTAATCAAAAGCAAGCTATAGTGGAATTGATGGAGTATTTTGGATTAAAAGATAAGGTCAAATGTCTCTGTTTCGACACAACTTCAGCAAATACAGGAAGATGGCAAGGTACTTGCATGAAATTAATTCAACAAGTTCAACGTCCATTGTTGTTGATTGCATGTCGACATCATGTAATTGAACGACACATAGCCCATTTCTGGAAGATTTACCCAAGCAGCGAAACTTCTGGTCCAGAAAACAAACTATTTGAAGTTTTAAAACAAAACTGGAACAGTATAGATGCTGAAACTAAGGAACTGAAAAGAATAATAATACCACCTGGAACATGGATATATAATCAAAAATTAGCTGCTGTTCAGTTTTGTAATAATGGGATCAGTTTGAAGATCTTCAAAAAGGTTATATTCTTATTTTTATTAATTTGATTCCTATTCTAACTTTCTAACTTTTAAAAAGTAACATTTATTACTAATTTAAAAGGTATCAAAAACATTTTAGGACAGAAATAAGTAAAGAATACCACGAGCTAGCTGAACTTACTTTAATGGTTTTATCATCAAATAGATTTAAATTTCATTTACCGGGACCAATTCACCATTCAAGATTTATGGGAAAAGGTTTATACTATTTAAAGTTGTATCTTTTAATGAATGAAACCCAAAACCTAACTGACAAACATAAGGAAGAAATAACTGGTACGGCTTTGTTCATAAGCCTTTTCTATACAGAGTGGTTTCTAAAAGCAGAGTTAAGTTCTTTGGCACTAACACAGGTATACAGCCTTTTAATATTTTATTAATAAGTTAGAAAGCTCAATATTGGTTAAAGTGATTCAAAATATTAATTAATGTTATTTATTAGGATATAAAAGCTTATTGGCGAATGAAAAGGTTTGAGGAATGGAATCTACTTGGCTCTCGAGCTGTTGCTAACTCTATTCTCAGACATACTTGGTATCTGGATCCAACTTTAGTAGTTTTTGCCCTAGCAAATAAAGAATGTAGGGAACGTGGTGATATGGCCAAAAAACTATATAGTTTACAAAGATGTCCAAGTGAAAGTTTTCCTTTGGAACGCCAGGTAATGGATCAAGCTATATTGAATAGCCTCAACTTCAGTAAAGATGAGCCCCCTAGTTTGACTCCACTAGTAACAGAAAAGTCGTGGCTTGTTTTTGACATGCTTAGGCATGGAAAAGCAGAAACTCAATGGATGAAGACTCCACCAGAAGTTTGGAAATTTAATGATTATTATCTAGAATTTAGAGCAACAGTTAAGGGACTTGATGTTGTTAATGACTGCTCTGAGAGGGCAGTTAAGTTAGTTCAAGACCTAATAAACAGAGCATATTCTGAGGAGAAAAGGCAGGACACATTTCTATTTACAAATAGTTATAAGAAAAACAGAAAAGGCAGGAAAAAAACAGATTACGAAAAAGCCGCAAATAAAGACTAGTTTCATTTTTTTGTTTATAACAATTTTTCAAGAAAGAATAGAGAGGATCATAACTTCTTTAGGATTTCTGTATTTTAATATAAAAGAAACTTTACTACTGATTTAAAATCTTTTACAGTTTTATACTTTTAATTTTTTTTAAGTTTGAGAACAAACCGTATGGTTTTAACTGTTGATTACAAAAAATCTTCATTCCCTGTCCAGGCCCTCCCTTTAATATATTTCTCAAAGTAACCCCTGAAACTGATATAAATGAGAAATCAATATAGTACTGTATTAAAAGTAAATAAAAACATAATGTAATTATTAGGTTTTAAATATAATTTTAAAATATTTTGTACTTTTATAAGCTTTACTAAATATTTATGAATTTTAGGGTTTTTTGAAGCAATTTTTATAAATTTTTAATATTTTTTTGAGAATAGAGCCCATGTTATTTGGATTAAATAAGTCTTTACAAACATAAATATATATTAAAAAAAAAAAAAAAATTAATGTCAAGACTTCCTACAAACAGTTTTAAAAAAGGTACGAAATGCCCTAAAAATTGCCCCTTTTACCCCCTGAAGGAACCCTTAAAGTTTTCAAAAAAAAAAAAAATTTTAATACTAAATCATGGTCTGGGCAGATGATAAGCTAGGGCTCTTTTTTTTTTTCAGACATGACCTATTTTTGAAACACCCTAATATATATATATATATATATATATATATATACATATATATATATATATATATATATATATATATATATATATATATATATATATATATATATATATATATATATATATATATATATATATATATATATATATATATATATACATATATATATATATATATATATGAATGTATATGAATATAAATATATATATATATATATATATATATATATATATATATATATATATATATATATATATATATATATATATATAACATATATATATGTATATATATATATGTATATATATACATATATATATACATATATATATATATATATATATATATATATATATATATATATATATATATATATATATATATATATATATATATATATATTTATATATATATATATATATATATATATATATATATATATATATATATATATATATATATATATATATAAATATATATATATATGAATATATATATAAATATACAAATATATATATATATATATATATATATATATATATATATATATATATATATATATATATATATATATATATATATATATATATATATATATATATATATATATAATATATATATATATATATATATATATATATATATATATATATATATATATATATATATACATATATATATATATATATATATATATATATATATATATATATATATATATATATATATATATATATATATATATATATATATATATATATATATGATTATATATATAAATATACAAATATATATATGATGAAATTTTATTATTTTGTGAAGATCAACTGACAATAAATATTTAAGCTTGTATAGGAAAAAGTTTAAAAGTTAAAAAAAAAAATTTAGGAACACTTAGGAACATGGAAGTATGGCCTTCTTTTCTTTAAATAACTAACTATGCAATGTAGCGTTAGATTGCATTTAAGAAAGCAGGGTTTTCGGAAATTACTTCAGAAAATGGTCGGAACTAAACAGGCGCAAAATGAACAATTATTAATATGGGTACAATTAACAATGTCAAATGTTTTATACATACCGCATATGATCATATAAGTTATTTTCTAATGAGTGGGAGTAAGTGTTTGGTAGTTTTGTGACATTCGTACAAGACTGGTTTCAAAAAATTTAAGATGTTGCGACAAGTGGGAAGAGATCGAAAATGTTCGAAAACTGCTTAACGTATTAATAACGTAATTTTTGAACAACCACTTATCACAAAATGATGTAAAAAGACACTTTTTAACAATATTTTATAATAAACTCCTTAAGAAAATAACAATATCAGGTGGACACAAATAATTTGGTCAAATTTGAATTGACATTTTCTAAAGATATAAGTGCTTTTTGTTTCAATATTTTATTTTTAAATTTGTTCACATCAATTAGGGTTTCAACTTAATTTTAATGGTCTTGATGGGCTGTTTTGCAACCAACTTTCTAGCACGTCAAAATTCTTTAATTTTACCATTTAAGTTTCTTTTAGGTATTTTTTTTGTTATGAAATGCTCTATTCTAGCATTTTCAAGAAAGTAATTTTCTTCACTCAAATTAAAATTGACAAAATTTATATAAAATTTCGTTAATAAATATGCATTTCTTTCCGAGTAATAATAATACTCAAAAAAAAAGGAAGATATTACTTATTGATGTTTTTATCAGACATGCATTTTTTACTTAGGCATTTCCAATTTTTTTAGGTCCATGCAAAAGGACATTTCGGATACTTCTTAAAAGGCATTTTTAATGGTTAATCAAAGTCATAATATATTTAATGATAGAAATGCTTGTAAGCTTTTTTTTACTGTGCTATAAATACTTATAATTATAAATATCTAATGTGCTTATAAATAAGTTTTTATAAATGCTTATAAGTTTATACAGCATGTTCCGCTGTAGCTTTTTTTTTAATTTTTTTAAAAACACTTTTAAAGTAGTTCTAACTAGCTTATAAATTTTTGTGAAAAAATTCCAATTATTCAATTTTTAAGTCTTTAGCTTTAAGTGTTACTATAGGTTTATTCTTAGCATAAACTAATTTATCCCCAAATTGTTTCCAGCTGCCCTAATGCATATACAATCGAACTCTATTTATTTTTAGAATAACTCACATCTTAAATGGATGTTTCAGTTAAGTTCGAACTTTAAAATCTGATTAGAACATCGCATTTGTGACTTTTTTATTGGGTTCTCCTACTTTTACTTATTATAGAAATATTGCAGCAAATCAAACAAAACGCTTTTTCATAAAATACAAAACATCACAAGGTGCTTTTTATGGAACATAGTTACATTTTTTTTTGGTATCAATGGTAACATTTTGATTTTATTTAGGTCCGTACCATAATTTTATAGAGTTAAAATGTTCTAAATAAAATGCACTTTATTTTAAATTTTATTTGGCGCAGATCGATTGTGGTCTATTAGTCTAATATTATGCTCTTTTTTAAAAATATTATAATTATTTTGTTCTAAATTTTGCCTAATAACAGACGACGTTTCGAAAAAAATCAATTTTGATGGTCATATTATTGATGAATGGCCTTAAAGTCAGTACTATGCAAAAAAAACCATAACAGTATTGATGATAATTACTTATTTTGATAAATTACAGTTCTCCTGATTGATTTAATGAGTATTCCTCACTGGTTCAATAATAATAGCACTATATTTCACAGAACAGTAATAATCGCACTATATTTCGCAGAACAGTAATAATAGCACTCTATTTTTTAACTATAACAGTTGCTTTTTTTGCTACACTGAATTAATATATTAATATTAGTTTGTAAGCACGAGATAAAAAAAAACAATTGATAAAGTCTTCCATCTAAGAATTTTATCATAATGCATTGCAAAAAAATTACTTTGGATTCTGAATCATTTTTTCCATCTGATTTGAAACTCCACCTGAGTAAACAAATCTTATTGTATTTATTTATTATCATTATACCTCATCAACTATCAATAGAGCATTTTACGGATAATAATTCTTTACTTTTTAGTAATACAAGATCAATGTTTATAGCAGAAATTTAATACTTTAACTTCCATTTACTCGAAAGCAGTAAACGAAGTTGATTGTAAGACTCATTTGCAAAGCAAAATTCTAATAAATATAAACCTTTGTTACACAATTTTTGTTTGAAATAAAATTTAGTTGCTTTTGCTTTATGGCATTCTTCAATTCAAAATAAAGCATAATCTAAAATTAAAATTTAAAGAATATCAATAATAAGTAGTTGTGGTATAGTGTTTAGTGTCATGGCTTCAGAACTAAATGTTTGCGGTTTAGCTATGTATAAAACATAGGTAAGCAGGTAGGCGTAGTTTTTTTAGTTAAATACTATTGCGCGATTCTAAGTGAAAAGACTGTTAGGACTATTTAGAGAAATTAAATAACTTAACAAAAGAAAGTTGTAATTATGAACTAAGTTTAGAGCGTCAAACACCTGTAAGTAGGACACCAAACCATTGTTAAGATTCAATATATTAGTTAATAAAACGCATATAAAAACTGATTTTTAGTTTTTTTATTTGGTAGCCTATATCTTTTTTTAAAGTATGTATTTAAAATTAGTAACTAACTAAATCCTAAAATATAAAAAATCCTAAACGAAAGAAAAAGTTTAGGTAAAGATAGGGTTTGAAATAATTTATGATTACCCTTTTGACATAAAACCCATTTTATTTAAAAAGTTGTTTAGATTTTGCAACTATTAGGCTAATGATAAATTACGTCACGCTTTTTCTTAATTTTTATGAAACTCTTCCCTTACCACAAAGCCCTAACCCACTCAACCAACCTCTGCAAAGTTGTTTAAGTTATAAACGTTTTTTGTACTTTATTAGATGATGATTTAAATTAACTATAAATTAGCATTTAAAAAAATTATATACTACTAAAGGTTTTGCATGAAAATAAAATTTAAATAAACTAAAAGTCATTTTTTACCGTATTACAATATTAAAAAAGATGCATGAATGTAAACGTAAAATAAAAAAATTCAACACAACTTTAATACACGACATAAGAGTGCTTGTAATGCTGAAATACGGATATTAACTTTAAATTATGCAACCCGGTATTCCACTTGAGTATTAAACAATGGAATTATACGCTGACTCTCTAATCTCAATCGGATAAATATGTATTTCAATTTCTGACTTCCCACAGCTGCCGTTGTTTCAGTAAGAACTCTTACACAACTTTAAACAGCTTGAATGTCATGGAAACTTGGGATAATTGATATTAGTTGATTTATTAGCTATGGTAAACAATTATTGATTTAC